ATTACAGTGAACTGGATATGAAGACCCGCTGACCTACTTTGACAGAATGGACACAGAGGCTGAATCATATATATAAATGACTGCAGATTTGTAGTTGAAATCAGACATTTTTCAACAGACCTAGCCATTAATAGAAACATACTTACTTGTACTTTGAAATGTTACCATGGGGCTTTGTTTTAGTTATTGTCTTTATATCTACTTTTTAATCATTTTTCAAGTTCTTCTTCTTATTTATTTATTATTATAATTGATCTATTATTTTTATTTATTTGATTATTTTTTTGTGAATGTAAACATTGTAAGTAAATGTTTTGTGTATACCATGTTTATAAACAGTTTAATAAAAAAAACAAGTTAAAAAAAGCATGCATGACATTGTTATCATAGGCACATCAAATTATTTTTTTTACAATTTTTATTTATTATTCTGGTTTTTAGAACACTAATTGAAAATATTCAGACTGTTTTATTGGCAGTGACATTCATCACAGCACCAAATGCTTTAAGACTTAAAGGGATAGTACACCTAAAAATGAAAGATTACTCCCTCTCGCTCATTTTTTTCTTCTGTTGAACACAAAAGAAGAAGCTATAAAGAATGCTGAAAACCTGTAAACACTGACTTCCATAGTATTTGTTTTCCTCCTATGGAAGTCAATGGTTACAGGTCTTCAAAACTTCTTCTCTTAAGTTTAACAGTCGAAAAAAAACTCCACCAGGTCTGAACCAAGTGAAAGGGTGAGAAAATTATGACAGGGTATTCAGTTTGGGGTGTACTATCCCTTTAATTGGTCATTTTTTCTAATAAATGTTTAATTTTCTCAACGGCATGCCCCAGATATTGACTAAAAATATTCCGATTCGCTATAGCACACTTTACAATGAAGGTCATGAAATTAAGCAATGCAACTAAACTGATGAAATAAAACATATATACATGTTGTACATTATAGAGTGTTATGTTTTAATTAAAAGTTCTATAAAGGTTTTTGTTTTTAAACTGAAATGCTGATTATAATAAATCTACTTGTAAAGCACTTATTACTCTTAGATAATAGTAATTTTTAAGAAATCTAAACAAACTGTCTTGTTTAATGAAACTAATAACTATTAGAGTTGAGTTATATTTTGTTAAACTCACATTAACATAACATACCTAACAAATGTAGCTATTTCTCAAGCTATTTCTTAGTTCAAAATAGGTTAGTTAATGCAGTAGTTGTAATAATGCTACATATCATAATGAAAGCTTCATTAATTACCTTAACAAAATACCGTAACATGTGACCCTCGACCACAAACCTTTATGTCGCAATAGTAAAAAATACATTTTACGAGTCAAAATAATATATTTTTTTCTTTGTAAAAAAAAATCTGACATTTTGTACTTTTTCTACTGTAAATATATCAAAACTTAATTTTGTGGTCCAGGGTCACATACAGTTCAAGTCAGAATTATTAGCCCCCTTTGGATTTTTTTCCCTTTTTTTTCTTATTTCCCAAATTATGTTTAACAGAGCAAGGAAATTTTCACAGTATGTCTGATAATATTTTTTCTTCAAGAGAAAGTCTTATTTTTTTATTTCGGCTAGAATAAAAGCAGTTTTAAATTAAAAAAAAAAACAATTTTGGGACAAAATTATTAGCCCCTTTAAGCATTTTTTTTTATAGTCTGCAGAACAAACCATCGTTATAGAATAACTTGCCTAATTACCCTAACCTGCCTAGTTAACCTAATTAACCTAGTTAAGCCTTTAAATGTCACTTTAAGCTGTATAGAAGTGCCTTGAAAAATATCAAATAAAATATTATTTACTGTCATCATGGCAAAGATAAAATAAATCAGTTATTAGAGATGAGTTAATAAAACTATTATGTTTAGAAATGTGTTGAAACAATCTTCCCTCCATTAAACAGAAATTTGGAAAAAAGAAATAAACAGGGGGGCTAATAAGTCAAAGGGGGTAATAATTCTGACTTCAACTGTATGTGTATTTGTATAACTCACCGCTGTTTCGAACCCTCAGCCATGGCATCCTGAAACATGCTCTGTGTGCTTTCCATTTGCTCTGTGCTGGGTTTTTCACTGATTCGAGGAAACCTCGGGGGTCTCACTTTACGCACAGTAGTGACATCCACCTTCATTGCCCCAAGCAGCTCCAGAAGACTCTCCTTCCCAGTTTTCTCTTTTTCAGGTTTCTTGATTTCCTTAGGTTTCAACTCTACTTCAGTATCTAGTTCTGATGTCAAAGCTGTATTTGATATATCCGGGCCCTTTTTAATTTCTGTGTTCCTCTGGCCATCAGTGCCAACTTCAGCTTTAGCCTCATTCTCTTCTTGTCTCTTTTCTTTGTCATCTGACAGGGATGTGGAGCTCTCTTTATTGTCACTAAAACAGATGCTACTGGTTCCTAATGGCCTGTGGCTTGTTGAACCTGTGGTCCTGAAAACAGTTTGTTTATATTTATATAACGTAAATAAATATATGTGCTGAAATGAACATTTATACACGTATTAGACATGACATAAACATGTTCAATACAATGAAAATATACATGTCAATCAAGCACTTTTTAATTCTGATATGTGCGTTATTTAGTTTTAAGATCACTTTAAGATTTGCAGATACCAATAACCAAAATAAAATACTAGTCTGACCATCAAATCTGTCATCAGTCAGTTTCGTAAATCTGCAACTTACCAAAACGTGTTAGCAAAACCCTCATTTTCTTTACATTTTACGGAGGGTGTTCGTGTCTTCTGTGCATGAATTAATCCATTTCGAACCTGATGTATATTTATTAACAATCTTCTGTACATATTTGCCCCTCTTACAAGACCTCAATGTCGTCCATGCACGTTTCCCTGTGCAGCGCTGACAACTGTCCGACCGGCGCCGGAGACGTATACAAGTTCCGGGCTTTTTCTTGAATCCACTAATGTGAATTTACTAATTTATCATTTTTAAAAGTATTTCAATATTGTGGTTTTATTTTATAATTGGTCTGTTTTAGATACAGATACAGTGCGATTAAACTGGATTGTAATCGGAACAGGGACAAACTCATAAAGTGGTCCAGGGGAGGGGTCTGCTGTTGCTGCTGTCAACCTCCATCCCTTCAGTGATGGGAAGCCCGAGCGAGTCATTTATGCGAGTTGGTTCTTTTGAACAGTGGTTAAAAAGCAACTCAATTGATTCTTTAAGTCATGACCTCACGTAGTATAATAAATTATTTGTTTATGTATTTATTTTAATAGTAACTATAATTTTAAATAAAATTTCAAACTACAATGATCTCAAATAATTATAAAAGTGTTTTCCTGTCTGCGTATTGTTGTGTAATTATATTAACATTGTCATGGTCACAAATTAAGAATTTACTTTGAATTATTTTGTCTTAAAACAATCTAGACATGATTTGAATTGAAAACGTCACCACGTTTGCACATGCACTTAGTGTTTTCCCGTTTTTAATATGCAGGGGTTACATAATTCTGTTGCTACTTTTCCAAAAACTCGTTGTCTTAGATGAGTCGTTTCACGAACCGCTCTGACCGACTCGTGGCCGCTTTTTTAAGCGATTCCTTGAAAAGATTCGACAAAGTTGAACAATTCTTTCGCGAGATATCGCTACATCCCTCTGTCATTTACACACGGATCTGTGGCGAGAGGTCATTTATCAATCGATCGCAAAATGTGTCAGTTCAGCAGGCTAACAACATGAATCAAACCACCGCGATACATATTTCCTTTGTAAGCGCTTTCGTCAAATAAGGTAAGCGTGCTTGGTGGGTTTTATTGTCAAATTCACGTTGTCAGTTTTACTTCACAGATGTTCATCTCTATCCACAGTGATGCAAAACTCGTCTGTCTGTCTGTCTGTAAGCAGCCGTTTGTGGCGTTTTATTTAGCCTCTCACAATAGACAGTTACACAATATCAAAGATAGCGCATCAGGACACTGTGTACAGTGAAGATAAACGAAGAGCGTGGGCTTGTGTCAGGGTTTGTGTGAGTTTCCCTCAGTGCCACATGGTGTCATGTGCTTGCGACTTTCTCTAGTCGGCGCCCTCAACTTTGTTGCCACATGAAACTTGAGATTCAGCTCAGTGCTCTGCTTATGTAACATTGTTCAGTTCTCTCCAGGATAGCCTGTTCAGCTAGGAATCTTGAGGGGAAAGTACACTTAACTGAGGGTCTTAAATCACCCTTTCACATTTCAAACCTTTAAACTCTTTTTGTATCAGAAGAAAAGGGCTTACATTCAAAAATGTTGAACACACAGCAAACAACAATAATAAATAATTTATTTTTAAATAAAGATATATTTACTTAAATTTATGAAGCAAGGGTGTCATGGTGGCTCAGTGGTTAGCACTGTCGCAAGCAGGTTACTGGTTCGAGCCCTGGGTTGCTCCGGTTTCCCCCACTGTCCAAAGACATGCGGTACAGGTCAATTGAATAAACTAAATTGGCCCTAGTGTGTGGATGTTTCCTAGTACTAGGTTGCAGCTGGAAGGGCATCTGCTGTGTAAAACATATGCTGGATAAGTTGGCAGTTCATTCCGTTGTGGCCACCCTTGATGAATAAGGAGACTAAGCCGAAGGAAAATTAATTAATGAATGAAACAAAATTGAAAAATAAGTTAGTCTTGTTTTTAGAAATTGAACGGTATGATATGAGATTATTTATGATTTAATCATATTTTTAACTGTTTAGCTATTTTTTTGTATGAAAATTGATTATATGAAAATAAATGTTCTGTTTGAATCAAGGGAACATTTTCACACAAGACAAGGCTCCCAATTTAATGCTATTTGTTTTCAAAACATTTGTTTATGTAGGTTATGTAGTGATTGATCTGTTATTTTGCTTTGTGCATCTGCAATGATGAAATCAGTGTTTTAAATAGATTAACATATATTTTTATCTCTGTCTGATCTTTTGCACAGATCTTTGAATTAAGACTTCTTGGATCGGTTGGACATTTTTAACGATGGCGCCACATCCGGTGGTTCAGGCAGTTATAGACCTCTCTGCTGGCGCTATAGGTAACTTCACTTCTTGTCTGGGTCATTTAAGGGGAAAATTAGTAACATAATTTAGACCACTGTGATGATAGAGATTTCAGCACAGTTTGCATTGCAACGTTTCTTTTGTCAGTCCTTGTGTGACCTTTGAGCTGTGCTTTTGCTTACCACTGTGGTTTCACAGTCTGGATCTATTGTCTCAGTAGTCCCCACAACAAACACACACACACACACACACACAAACTCACTGACCCGATCTGTCTTGTTTAGATTCATGTTGATAAGAGCGTGATCTAGTATCTAGCGTATGCTACTGTTTGTGGAATAGTTGTAGATCATTGCTTCATAATACTGATATCCTAATAAATGAAGTATTCTTTAACATAATAAAACATTTCTCCATCTTTTTAAACGGTGGGGTTAAATGTATTGTGCTTGGTATCAATTACTAAATTTATTAAAGTTTCTAACCATGAAAAAGAACAATGTGCTAAAAGATTTATATATATATTGATGATTAAAAACCTACAATCTACGATACATTTTATTAACAACAACAAAAACTCTTTCTCCCGCACTTCTTTCCTCTTTAGGGGGTGCAGCTTGTGTATTTAGTGGTCAACCTTTGGACACGGCGAAGGTGAAAATGCAGACGTTTCCCACATTGTACAGAGGTTTTGTGGACTGCTTCGTGTCCACATACAGACAGGTGGGCCTTCGAGGCTTGTATCAAGGCACCACACCGGCCCTCATGGCCAACATCGCAGAGAACTCTGTGCTCTTCATGTGCTACGGCTTTTGCCAGGAGGTGGTTCGCTTTGTCTCTGGACAGGGGAAAGGGGCTGAGCTGAGGCACGTTCAGTTTATGTGTTGTTTCTATTTGTGTCAGTATTCAACAATTAAACATTTCACATCTGCTGATTGAATTTAATGTTATTTGACTGTAATGTTTTCTTTGAGAAATCATGTGTTCAAAAAAGATGTGCTCTTATTACTAATACTGAACAAAAGGTTGCGTTTATGTATCCTATACATTTTCTGAATGGAAAGAATGTAAAATTGACATTTATTATGTTAAGAAAGACATCTGTGAATTTAGCTATTTTAGTCTATTCTTCCAAAAGGCAAACTATACATTTCTTTGGATGATTTGAACTATAACTAATATGTGAAATATTTAGTTTCATTTACAATGTTTTCTCAAATATATTGTAATTTATGTGTGATAAAAATGCATGCAATTTTAGAAACACAGATAAACCACAATCCTGTTTACAAAGATAAAACAATAATTCATTTCTAAATAAATACAACAACTTTTTAAATACATTTTAATACTTTTTAAGATAAATACAAAAACATTTCACAAAAATTAATATGTATACACTCACCGGCCACTTTATTAGGTACACCTTACTTATACTGGATTAGACCCTTGTGCCTTCAGACCAAAGTCACTTAAATCACCCTTCTTCCCCATTCTGATGCTCGGTTTGAACTGCTGAATATCGTCTTGACCATGTCTACATGCCTAAATGCATTGAGTTGCTGCCATGTGATTGGCTAATTAGAAATTTGCATTAACGAGCAGTTAAACAGGTGTACCTAATAAAGTGGCCGGTGAGTGTATATTAATATATACATTTCTGTAACAATATAATTGTTTTTTGATTAATTTATATAATCCCTGCAGATTTAAAATAGTAAAAAAAAAATCTGTTTAAAATCAACAATCAAGTAGACCAAAATCTATATCAATTGAGCTTATTTTTGCTCTGTATGTTTATTTGTGTTCAGTGATATGCAGAAAGCGTGCGCGGGCTCTGTGGCCTCTGTGTTCTCTTCTCTGGTCTTGTGTCCCACTGAGCTGGTGAAGTGTCGACTGCAGGCAATGCATGAGATGGCATCCTCCGGCAAGATCACCCAAAGCCAGAAGTAAGTATTGAACTAATATTTAAGCCTCTCTGCAGACACTTCATACATAATTATTTTTATTTTTGAGAGCTTGCATTACTACCGATTCATTCTGTCTGACTGTCTGTATTTTCCAGCACAGTTTGGTCGGTGATGAAGTCCATTATGCATAATGATGGTCCTGCAGGTTTCTTCCAGGGTTTGACCACAACCATTGCCCGTGAGGTGCCTGGGTATTTCTGTTTTTTTGGAGCGTACGAGCTTTGCCGCTCTCTCTTTGCCGACTACATGCACTGTGGCAAGGATGACATAGGTATGGAAACATTCAGAAGGACAGTTTCTACAGTTTATCATTATAATGACCTTATCTGAAATATTGACAGCATGATGACTAACAGCATACTTAGATTCTCATGTATTGATTGGTCTGTTTTTTTTTGTGTGTGTTTAATGAAATGGCAAACCTGAGTCATTTATTATTGTCAATCAGTAAACAAGGAAGTCTTTGTTTTTTTTAAACAGAGCTGACCCTTGTTAACCCTGTTGATTGCGACAGAGATAATAAACAGGCACATGCAGGTGAAGACAGAATTATTAGCCCTCCTGTGAAATTTAAAGTCTTTTTCAAATGTTTATAAGTGATTTTTAACAAAACAAGGGCAAGTTTCAACCATTATTATATTAATCCTTTTGTAGATTAAATAAATAATAAATTTGTTTTCGATTGACTACAGAACAAACCATTGTTGTCCAATGATTAGCGTAATCAAACTAACTTGCTTAGTTAACCTATTAAACCCAGTTAAGCTATTAAATTGCACTTTAAGCTGAATTCTAGTACCTTGAAAAAAAACTAATAAAATATAATGCACTGTCATCATGGCCAAGACAAATTAGAAGTAAGTTATCAAAAGTATTATGATTAAAAATGTGTTGAAAATCGTTTTATTAAATTTAAAAGCACTTGGAAAATATTTGGAAAATAATTAAAATTTCAAATGTACCTCACATAAATAAGAAATCTAAATACTAAATGAATGGTAAAATTGCTAGTATACTTTGTTTATTTATTATAGAATTTATTTATTATATTATTATTATATTTATTTATTATTGAATTTATTTAATTTATTTATAGAATTTGTTTATTCTTTAATTTTGTTTCGGCTTAGTCCCTTTATTCATCAGGGGTCGCCACAGCGGAATGTTTTAAAATGCTTTACACAGCTGATGCCCTTCCAGCTGCATCCAATTACTGGGAAACACCCATACACACTCAAACACACTCATACACTACGGCTAATTTAGCTTATCCAATTCACCTATACCACGTCTTTGGACTTGTGGGGGAAACCAGAGCACCTGGAGGAAACACACCTACACGGGGAGAACATGCAAACTCCACACTGAAATATCAACTGACCCAGCCGAGGCCCTAAAACCTTCTTGCTGTGAGATGACAGTGCTATGCACTGAGCCATCGTGTCACCCTTGTCTAGGATAATTATATCCATATGAATTTAAATTTATTTAATTGTATTTTTTATTTAATTATTTAACTCCACCGACATATCTTCTATTGAGGAAGCCGAGACTGAGGATGCAGGGGTGGACTCAACCATTACCCAAGCTGCCCCCACGACCCAGCCCGCAAAAGCCGCAGAAAATGAATAAATGAATAAATGAATGAATAAATGAATACAGCAAGGGTGATAATAAACATTTGCAGTTAATTTTCTTACCCTCTGAGCATCCATTATGCAATTTTAATTTTTCTCAGCAGTGCATCAACAATTTTAGCAGAACCCAAAGTGCTTGCTTATTCATAAAATGCTAATTAGTGGATAACTGTCACTTTCAGACTCAAAGAAACACACATACATATATATATATATATATATATATATATATATATATATATATATATATATATATATATATATATATATATATATATATATATATATATATATATATATATATGTACATATATCTTCATATATATATGGCTCCTGGTGATGCATTTACAGTAAATGTGACAGAAACAGCTTTTATTCATTCATTCATTTTCTTTCCAGCTTAGTCCCCTTATTAATCCAGGATCGCCACAGGGGAATGAACCACCAACTTTTCCAGCACGTTTTTACGCAGCGGATTGCCCTTCAAGCTGCAACCCTACTCTGGGAAACATCCACACACACTCATTCACACACACACACACACACACACACACACACACACACACACACAAACACACACACACACTCATACACTTCGGACAATTTAGCCTACCCAATTCACCTGTACCGCATGTCTTTGGACTGTGGGGGAAACCAAAGGAAACCCACGCAAACGGAGGGAGAACATGCAAACTCCACACAGAAATGCCAACTGAACTGACCCAGCCGAGGCTCGACCCAGCGACCTTCTTGCTGTGAAGTGACAGCACTACCTACTGCGACACTGCTTTGCCTGAAACAGCTTTTATATTACTTCAAAAGATTTTGACTTCTATATTGTCCAGAAGTAAAAATTAGTCCTTTGTTTTACCTCACAATTACATTCAAAATCACATGTATCCCTAACTACAATCACAAAAATAAACACTAATTGTATACTTTAACCAGTATTTCAATGGCACAAATGAAATTTGAGACAGATTTTATTTGATTTAAATTAAAAGATTGTTATATTAAAAAAGAAAAAAAAACTTTTTCGGATAAAAGGCCAAAAAGCAAATATCATTGATAGCTGTGGGCCAAAGATAAATATACCAAACTATTTGACATTAAAACTGCCATAGGTAATTTCCTAATATATTTCATAATATTTAAAAAAATAGACAAAGCACAATGGAGTTTAACGCTGAATACACTAGTCAAGCACAATTTGTCTTTGCCTTGATTTGCTCATAGTCTTTTTATTGTCTTCTCTCTGTTGGGTGACAGTATGTACATTTTAAAGTAAATTACAGCATTTAAATTAAAACATGTAATTTCATTTAGTTTTTTTTGTAGCTTAACAATATAACAAACAAATCAAAGATTACAACTTTTACAACTTAAAACTAACAGGAAGTGCAATTTAAGATTTAAATTTTAGATAATGAGGACAAACTATTTATTTTAAACTTTTATGTTATTAAACTTTTTATGTCATACACAGATGAATTGATCACCACAAAATGAGCAATGTGAGCTTACAAAATTATTAATTATTGATTTAATTAAACTTTAAGCTGAATAAATGTTCATGATTTCTGATAAATAAATGTGGGCTTGGAGAGCAGAGAGAATATTTTAAAAAGTGTTTTTAGTTGTTTTGAAATACTTCAGTTTCTCTGTTTTGTATCATTTTGCTAATGATTGCGGTCGGTGTATATTGTAGGAAAATGGTTTTTCCCTCCCCGAGTTCAGGATTCGCTTGAAAGTAGACGCAGGAAACTTAGCTTTATCGAGAAATCAAAGTTTAATAAACGAAGGATCAGATCAACAATGCTGAGCCCAGGAATACTGAAGAGACACCATGAAAAGGCAAACTGGGCGCTCCAGTATTGCCGTACAATTCATAAAACAACAGTTTTTATTCTTGGTTGTCTCCTCCCCACTCTCGATGAGCCTCCAATCCATTATTCGCCTTCCCATCATCAGATCTCATCTCAACCAGTTAGAATCTGCCAGTAGCCTGCAAACACACACACACACAAAACACACATGCACCCCTACACAGACTGAGATACGGCTGATTCCTTGCAGGTGTTAAACCACATCCTGTACCAAAGCACAGCTGTCCATGAGCTCAGATCTCTCGTCTTACTTCTGTGGAAAAACCCCGTTTCTCTAGAAGCGAAGCTTAAGCGATAGGCTCACATTTCAAACAAAGCAATAGGCTCATATTTCAAACAAAGCATTTCATCAGTAAAGAAAATAGTAAAACTTAATATCAATATCAAACATAAAACATCAAAAATATGAAAAACTTAATATCAATTCTGAACATGCATAAAACATTAAAAAATATGATTCCCTCAAAAATATAATTCCCTCAATTCCCTCTCTTGATCTCGAAAGAGATCACACTATATCCAATAGTTCCTCCACTTCCTCCATCACGTCATCCCCCTCCGCTGCAGCAAGGAGGGGCATCTGATAAGGAGGTGGGTTTTCCTTCTTTTCAATTGCAGTTATTATCAGCCTATTTATCAAACTTCTGATACAGGGAATACAGCAACACCCACATGTCACCAAAATTCCTAGGAAAATACCCATTGATGTTAACATAGCAATAATCACCCCTTTCCATTCCCCAAACATATCAGACATCCATTTAGACACAGCATTTTCTATCCCTGAGCTAGCTTTCAGTTCATTTGACAATTCTTTTAGTCCCTCCAGAGCCCTGGATACGGAACCATCAGGGGCAGTGTTGTTTGGTATGACGGTGCAACACGTGTCTTTAAACATAGAACAAACCCCGCCCCTTTCTGATAGTAACATGTCTAAAGCTAGCCGATTTTGAATAGTCATCAGAGAGGTAGCAGCCAATTGTTCTTTTAATCCAGACACAGCATCTCTAGTGAGATTTGACAGCCTTTGTACGTTGTAATGTATGTAATTTATTCTGTCTACATTTTTATTTGGGGTCACGGGGAATAATGCTGCTATTACAGGTATATTTTCGAACCCTGCTGCTACTTGGTCAGCCAATTTATATTCATCTGGAACTCCCCTGGGGATGCCTATTGCGTCTATGTAGGTGGGGCTATTGCGTGTTAAATCGAAATCACTATTTACTGACCTTTTTCGCCTGTTTTTATGCCCATTTATAGCCCTATTTCCTATCACGACCATAGGAACAGCGACTCTTATCATAGCACATACTCCTTCCATGGTGGGTTCTATTCTAGCCAATACCACCTTTTCTCCACACGCGTAATACAAACCCACTCTGCCCCATCCCCCTAGTTTGTCATGACCTTCCTGAATCATCTGTCCACACCATTCCCTTTTAAACGCTCCCACTAATATTTTGGATGCACTGGAGGTAGTTAAATTGAAACAGGTATAGTTACCCTTTCTTCTTTTTAATGCAACTCCCATTGATGACTTATTTCCAGCTGGTGGGTATAGATTACTGAGTGCAGTGCAGTTTTTGGGACTTTTTTCCTTTGTTAGTTTTAACATACATTTGTACCCCCAACTATCATAATCATGTAATGGAGCGGGTTCAGTATTTAATTGTGGCCTTCCTGCTGCACAAGCTAGGCACCCCTCAAATCCTAATTCTTCGGCTGCGTTTGTCACCCATTCTAACCATAAATTTGTTTCGTGATAGCCTGTCTCCAGCGTCATCAGATCTAGTGGGGTCAGATTGCTATAGTCAGTGCTCTGTATTACTTTCTTTTTGTTTTTGGTTAGGTCTGTGATTATTGGCGCCCCTGTGGGTTTAGGCTTTTTTATGGAGATTTTTATCAACCCCAGTGGGTCTTTTCCTTCTACATCTACCCCTAGAGTGATGTACGTGTCAGTTTCATCATTGCCATTTTTTAGTGATATAATCAACGTGTTTTTCCAGCCTCCCCAACTATGTTGGTATCCCCTAGACAACCTAAGTCGATTTTGGATGCTGTCTGCTTTGGCCAAAGGACTATTTTTCAACATCTTTTTAGTGAATGGAACTGTTTTCCAATTTACATCATGCCAGGTATGACAATGGGGACCATTCGGAAGCGTGGTGGTAGATGGCCACAAACACCCATACACATCATATCTTCTCCATGCCACTTGGTCCTTCCCACAATCTATCACTTGACAAAGATCAAACTGCCACATCCCATCCTTTCCCTCTTCCCTTTCTAAGGTAATACGCACCCCTGTTCCCCCCCCTTCTTTTACACTCCGTTTTTCCTTTGTTGCCCCTCCGAATTCCATATGGCAGATTATCCATAGGATTACCACCAACATTATTCCCCATGCCACCACCAATTTGTTTATTTTATTCATTTTGTTAGGAGAATTACCTGAATGTGGCCCTCTTTGAATACTTTCTCAATTATTTCTTTTACTTTGGTGTAGTCTAATTTGTCTAATCCACACCCTAATTTTGGTATAGCTAATATTTTATTTTTATCTTTCTTACACTGGTAACACAATTTTATCAGACTAGCCTCGAGATGCTCGTAGGTGGGTAGGTCCCTACACCACCATTTGGTCACCAAATGGTAAATTTGTCGTGGACCGTGTGTAGTTTTGATACAATCCCCTGGTTGGGCGACTGAAGTGTTCAATTCTTCTACACCGTATTTGTCTCTAATTTGTTTAGCTACCCCAGCTCCTAGTGCATAATCAGCACTTATACAATGTGCAATGGGAATGTGTTCTGGTGTCTGAAGCAAGTCTCCAGTTCGTTGCAAGATTTTAAATACAGGGGTTGCGCTTAGCTGTGTTCTGGGGGCTGGGGCTGCTTCTGTTTGTCCGCTTCTTTCCCCGCCTTCTCCCTCTCTTTCTGGCTCCTCAGTGTCTCCTTCTCCTTCTCCCTCTCTTTGACCTCTCCTGAGGTCAACTCTGACATCCGCCAAAGACCTGTCTGGAGAAGGACAGAACATACAAGCAGACAAATGATACCATGTTGTGCCTTTACCTGCTAATTGCACACAATGGGATGTCCTAGCCGTGACTCTTAACGGTTCAGACCACCTTGGGCTAGACCATTTTCGTTTGTGCTGTTTCAATCTCACCCACAGTGTTGTGTTTTCTGCAGGTCTAGATGCTTCACTCTCTGTTGGCCAATTTTTCTGCGGAGAAAACATGTTAATCACAGCACATACTTTATCATGATACATTTGCGGTGAGTCAGTGTCTCCAGCATGCAAGGGGGCCCATGGGCCCGGGAATTGTCTTCCTGTAGCCAATTCAAATGGAGTAAAACCTGTAGTTCGATTAATAGAACAGCGTACTGACATTAGTGCAATGGGAAGTGCATCTACCCAATTCAATTTGGACCTGTGACAAATTTTTGCCAGTTTGTTTTTTAGCGTTAGATTGAGGCGCTCCACTTTTCCCTGACTTTGTGGGTGGTATACAGCTCCATACCGGTGTTTTAGACCTAACAATTTTTCTACATCCGCCAGATGTTCATTTTTGAAATGAGTGCCATTGTCTGACCTGATTATACGAGGGAACCCATGCCTTGGAATGTATTGGTTGATCAAACATTTTACCACAGAAACTGCATCTTCCCTAGCGCATGGGAAAGCTTCTGGCCAACCAGTGAATTGGTCTACTAGGACCAGCAGATACCTTTTTCCGTTTACTCTTGTGATCATGTCAGTAAAGTCCATGACTACTGTACACCCTGGACCCCTATCTGTGGGGAAATGCCCTGCAGTGGGTTTGGAGGTTGGCTTGACATTGAACTCTGCACATGTTTGACAAGAGGCTATTACTCCACTTATCATGTGTGGCATGAAAGGGTGCCACCATTGAGACACTCGTTTAGTCATATCCTTCTCGCTGCTGTGAGCCAGAGAGTGGGCCTCTGTCAGGACTTTCCCTGCTAAATTTGCAGGCATAATTGGTCTACCTGTAGGACCGACCCATAGTCCTGTCTGGGAATCTTTTCTTCCTCCCTTTTCTAACCATACTGAAATTTCCTCAGCTGCAGCCAAACTTTGTTCTTTAGATAGAAAACTTGTAGTTAGATGTTCGTCAATTTGATGCAGCTCGTCAACTGCAGTCACAGTCATTTGCAATGGTTTGTACCCTGCCACTGTTTTAGCAGCGGCGTCTGCTGCCTCGTTTCCTAATGAAACAGGATCTTTTCCTTTGGTGTGTGCTGCACATTTAATTATTGCTACCTCTTGTGGCAACATAATTGATTCTAACAAATCAGAGGCTTCTTGTGCGTGCTTTATAGGCTTCCCAGAGGATGTTACAAACCCCACTCTTGCCCAACCAGTCAGTTCAGATGTAGCTGCCCCTACTGCATATGCTGAGTCTGAATAAATATTTACAGTCTTATCTTTGGCCATGTGCAAGGCTCTCACAAGGGCCAATAACTCAGCTCGCTGTGCTGATGGTCTATCTTGCAACACCTGCTGTTCCCTTATTGTATACCCGTCGTCAGTCTGTTCCACGATGGCGTAACTGGCTACAAGTTTGCCTGAATCAGTTTTAAAACAGCAACCATCACAGAACAGAGTTAGCTGTGGTTTAGTTAATGGAATGCTACTTAAACCTGGTCTGATCTGTTCCTCTGCCTCTGCCCTGGGGATGCATTCATGTGGTTCACCCTCTCCTGCATGAGCCATGTTTACCCCTTGGTGTTCATATATGATGTGTGGGGCGGTCAATAGCTTGTTCTGTCTCTGTGCAGAAAAAGTGAATGCAGATGAAGTGATGAATGATATAACAGAGTGTGACGTCAGTACATGTAATGGATGTCCCATGACTATGTGCTCAGATTTTTCTATCAATTTAGCCAGGCCAGCAGCATACCTAGCACAAGTGGGCTGTTTTTGCTCTATCTTATCTAGGGGTGCACTCAAATAATGCAAAACCCTCCTTTGCTGGTGTTGTTTTTGATACAACACTCCATTTGTGGTGGAGGCCGTGGTGCTAACGTCCAGAAAGAAAGGCAATTCATAATTTGGAGTCTGCAAGGCTGCTGCAGTGGCTAAATCAGCCTTAAGCCCACAGAAAACAGCTTCAGCCTCTTGTGTCCAGTTTAGTCGTGCTCTACTGTTTTTCATCCCAACTTCTTTTGCCAATGCCCTCAATGTTGCAGTTCTTTCTGAGTAATTTGGTACATATTGTCTGCTATACCCTATCAACCCCAGAAATGACATCATGTCTTTTACTACTAGTGGCTTTGGGTGTGACAACACAGTTTGTTTGGTGTCATCAGATAGGGCCGTGCCTGTTTGTCCAATTATTCTTCCAAGGAAGTGCACTGTTGCCCTGCTGATTTGTATTTTTTCTTTGCTCACCTTTAACCCTGCAGTACTTAGTAATGTTAGTACTTTTCGTGTGTCCTGCAGGCAGACCTCGTTGGAGTGTGCTGCCAATAACAAGTCATCAACATACTGGATAACAATGGTACCTTCATGCAAAGTACAGCTGTCCAACAGCTCCCTTAATGCTTGGTTGAACAGACCTGGGCTTAAAATAAACCCTTGTGGTAGTCTGTTGTAAGTATATTGCGCTCCCTGATAGCTAAAAGCAAAAATGTCTTGACATTGTTCTGCCAGGGGCATGCAGAAAAATGCATTAGCCAAGTCTATGCACGTAAAATGAGAATGTTTTGGTGTCAATTTAGACATGATGGTATAGGGGTTGGGGGTGGGTAAGGTAGCAGTCAATACTTTCTCATTGATTAGCCTTAAATCATGCACCATTCTGTATTTTCCAGTTGTCTTTTTCAAAACAGGAAGGATTGGGGTGTTCCAGTCAGACACTGTTCTGCGTAGGACCTCAGCAGCCTCTAACTCTTCTATGGTTTCCCCTATTCCCTCCACAGCTTCTGGTCGAAGTTTATACTGTCGGACGTTTACTATTTCTGTTCTGTCTATCTGAAATAATACTGGTTCTACGTGGTGGATGAAATGGCGAGTCCACACCTCCCCTTCTCCCCCCTGCATGTCTGGACTATTTTCTATGGCGGCTACAGCGCTCGCAGGAACACCCTTAATCACAGCCTGTCTGAAAAATTCTTTACATATGTCAGAGGAGTCTGGATTTTCCCCTGTCCTATCTTCCCACTCAGCCTCACACCTGTGCAGATATGCTGATGCAGATTCTCCAGTCATTATTTTGAACTTTATGCTTTGATAAGTCAATTTTGGGGTGGGGTAAATTCGCCTCATGGCGCTTCCCACTTCAGTACTGAACCTGTTTAAAGGTTCTTCATTTTCTTCTGTGGTCGTGTTAGCTTCCCTTTCTATCAGTTCTACCTGTGTTCTAGTTAGTATGCTTCCCCATAATGCTCTAACATCTCCCAGTGCTAGGTCTGTCCCATGGGTCAGGGTCAACAGTTTAGTGAACCACCTCTGACCTCCCTTAGTAATTTCTGGTAATTTACTTAGCACAGCATTCATATCTGTATGTCCCCAGGGTTTGTATTCCTTCCTTCCTGTAGCTGCCCTGATTAGTGGCATCACTAATTTTGGGGTGCTGTGTAAGTTTTTCATAAACAAGGGCATTTGTTGTTCCCTATTCTCCTCTGCATGCACCCATCTTTTAGTTCTGTCTGACAAGCTATCTAGCTCGGGACCTTGTGCTCTGTGCTCTCTTTGTAATGCAGCCTCTCTTCCCCAGTCTACATCCAATTGATACCCTGATACTATTATCTTGTTTCTGTCCTCACAGGTACCCCCTACTGATGTGGTCCCTTCAGATCTTACACTTCCCTCTTCTTCGTTGAGGTTTCTCTTCAGCTCTTCCTCCATTTCTGCTACCCTCGACATTGTTTGGTTTACACTGTCTCTTGCGAGTTGAATGTTTGCGGTAAACTGCTTTGCTATTTCCTGTTTTACTGCTTCCTCTATTTCTATCTTAGTCTGAACTTCTTTTAGGGCCGTTTTCAACTGTCTTTGTTTTTTATCTTCCTCTGTTTCTTCGACCTCTATAGCGCCCTGTTTTATCATGAACTTGAAATCTTTGTTAGCTTGTTTAGTAGTAGTTTCTATTTCTCCCCCTTTTACTATCATTACTGGCATCTGCATTGGTGCTGAGGGGGTTTTGGTTTTTTCTTCTGCACTACTATAGGGTGGGGGCCTCTCTGGTGAGTCCCTTTGATCTGCCCACACAGCACTTTTTACTTTGGTAACCATGGCTGCAGCTACCCTGCTCCATTGTCTCAGTCTATCTTCTGCTTTTTCTATTTCTCTGTTTGCTGCTCCCTTCTTCCAAACCCCAGTTTTGTCCCTATTTTGTCTGGCCAGTACCAAATCTGTATCTGCCCTTTTCTCCTCTGTCAAAAGTATGTTCAGTAACTTTCCCTGATTTTTAGTTGTCTCTGTCCAGCCATTTAGACCTGAGAGATATGTCCACTGACTTTCTAATGTTTTACTTATTTTCTTTCTGTCTTTTGGTTCGGTGTGATGTATTATCTGCTTACAGATACCATCCCACGTCTCTTTATATGTTGTCATTTTAATAATGGTTTTGTCTCCCTATTGGGGTCACACACTTCACAATCTTCCTTATGTCCTAATAATCTACACACCCACCACTTAGGAATATTTTTCACCTTTCTTGGTTTGTAATATAACACTTTAGCATCTAATTATGATTCCTTCATTCACTCGATGTTTTATTTACATGCTCTCAGTCCCTATGAATATAGGGCTCATCAATCACACCCTCCTCTCTGAGCTCCCAGAATGCTGCGTCCGTTCCTACCGGGTCACACTTAAGCGACGGTCCAGAGAAGGTGCGCAGCACTCTGACCTCCCAAATACGGAGTTATTCACTCACACACATGCTCATTCAGGAATCCGCACACAATTGACACTTTAACACAATTTTACACCCTTTAACGTTTTGCCTTTTACTCTCTTTTATGTGTTTTTACGAGTGAGTTAACCTCGCCGGGTAAACTTCAATTCTCAACCATGCCAGGAAAACACGATACGAGTTTTTATAATATTTCTTAACCACGCCGGGTCAACTCGTTTAATTACCAATTCGGAGTTTTTATAAGTTTTCTTAACCGCGCCGGGTCAACTCCTTTAATAACCAATTCAGAGTTTTTATAAATTTGCTTAACCACGCCGGGTCAACTCTATAATATAACCAATTCTGAGTCTTTATAAATTTGTTTAACCACGCCGGGTCGACTCGTTTAATATACCAATTCGGAGTTTTTATAAATTTGTTTAACCACGCCGGGTCAACTCCTTTAATAACCAATTGTTAACCACGCCGGGTCAACTCTGAGTTTTTATAAATTTGTTTAACCACGCCGGGTCAACTCAATAATAAACCAATTCTGAGTCTTTATAAATTTGTTTAACCACGCCGGGTCGACTCGTTAATAATCAATTAATAGTATGAGTTTTTAAACCTTGTAACCACGCCGGGTCAACTCATTTTAATTGCCATTGTTGATCTAATTCAAATTATTTATGGATTATGTTGGTATTCAATCCCCAATCAACCTTAAATTTGGTAATTCCAATCTTGCAGTACTTTTATCAAAAAGGTGACTGCTTACCTTATTAGAAGTTCTGCGCAGAGGTTGATTTGAGATCGTCCTCCAACTCGACGAAGCGTCTGAGCGAATCCGGGTGCCCCCTCCAAATTGTAGGAAAATGGTTTTTCCCTCCCCGAGTTCAGGATTCGCTTGAAAGTAGACGCAGGAAACTTAGCTTTATCGAGAAATCAAAGTTTAATAAACGAAGGATCAGATCAACAATGCTGAGCCCAGGAATACTGAAGAGACACCATGAAAAGGCAAACTGGGCGCTCCAGTATTGCCGTACAATTCATAAAACAACAGTTTTTATTCTTGGTTGTCTCCTCCCCACTCTCGATGAGCCTCCAATCCATTATTCGCCTTCCCATCATCAGATCTCATCTCAACCAGTTAGAATCTGCCAGTAGCCTGCAAACACACACACACACAAAACACACATGCACCCCTACACAGACTGAGATACGGCTGATTCCTTGCAGGTGTTAAACCACATCCTGTACCAAAGCACAGCTGTCCATGAGCTCAGATCTCTCGTCTTACTTCTGTGGAAAAACCCCGTTTCTCTAGAAGCGAAGCTTAAGCGATAGGCTCACATTTCAAACAAAGCAATAGGCTCATATTTCAAACAAAGCATTTCATCAGTAAAGAAAATAGTAAAACTTAATATCAATATCAAACATAAAACATCAAAAATATGAAAAACTTAATATCAATTCTGAACATGCATAAAACATTAAAAAATATGATTCCCTCAAAAATATAATTCCCTCAATATACTCTTAGATCTAAGATGTCCTGTGTTATCGGCTGTGACGTGTGTTTGTGTTTTGTAGGTGTAGCACCCATCGTGTTCAGTGGAGGTTTTGGTGGAGCTTGTCTCTGGCTGGTGGTTTACCCAATGGACTGTGTTAAATCCAGGATACAGGTCATGTCGATGACAGGCAGACAATCAGGCTTCTTCAAGACTTTCATGCATATCTTCAGAACCGAAGGTAAGACAAAGATCTGAGCATTGATATTATGATTTACCCAATAACAATTGCTGAAACCAGTTTTAAACATGTCTTGTTTATTTTCAGGTGTAAGAGCTTTATATTCTGGTCTGACTCCCACTATGATTCGGACATTTCCAGCAAACGGTGCACTGTTCTTAGGTTATGAAGCCAGTCGGAAAGTCATGATGGCACAGTTTGACAGCTGACCTTCCAGTCTCGTTTATTAGCATTAAACAGTTTTGTATTTACTGTGCCATGGTTTGTGCGCACACTAACAGTCAGTTTTATAACAAGGCTTTATTTATTTTAACGCTTAAAAAAAAGATTCAATTGAATTAACACATCAAATATATCATGACCTATCAGTGAACAATACTTTTTGAGGCAGTACATACTCCAGGTTACTGTTACTTTATAAATATTCTGTTTTTAGCCATTGCTAATTTGTTTTTGTACATAATCCACACAACACAAATTATAAAAAAATCTAAATTAGTAAATAATTATACTAAACTTTACTGTAAAGTGCTATATATATATATATATATATATATATATATATATATATATATATATATATATATATATATATATATATATATATATATATATTAGCATTTTAAATTGGATAGACCTTGGCCCGAGGGTCTTAAAACTTTATTGCACCGTAGTGTATTCTCAGTGATGACTGAACCTCTTGACCAAGCAGAAATGGTTTGTTTATTGCACTGTTAACACTGGTCTCATCACTCCTTCATATCAATCATTTTTATTTGTAACCTTATATTTTACAAATACTACATTTTTAGTCTACTTATTTATTTTTTGCTCATAATTAAAAATAAAAAAGTCTTGTAAAATAAACTGTAGCTATGCAGTAAAGATATAAAACATCTTAGCATTCCTGGATTTCTGTAACTTATGACTCCATGTAACTTGTGCAGTACTCTTGTGTGCCAACAAAAGTGTAAATATATATAGTATATATAAATTAATTAAATTATGACTGCGATTGAAAGCTTTACTGACTTGTCAGGCAGTGACTCTGTAGGCAGCATTTGCGCATGAAGGCACCACTGATTTCAACTCGCATTCATTTGTTTAGTGTATACACTACCTGATAAAAGTCTTGTCGTTGATTCCAGTTGTAAGAGCAACAAATAATAACTTGCCTGAACAGAAGGTAAAGTTTTCCGAAGATTCATCAGGATTCATGGTTCTCCAGGATTGTCCAGCCCAGTCACCAGATATGAACATTATTGAGCATGTCTGGGGTAAGATGAAGGAGGAGGCATTGGAGATGAATCCAAATAATCTTTATGAACTCTGGGAGTCCTGCAAGAATGCTTCTTTGCCCTTCCAGATGACTTTATTAATAAGTTATTTGAGTCAGTGCAGAGATGTATGAATGCAGTCTTCCAAGCTCATGGGAGTCAAACACAATATTAATTCTTTTTCCACTGCATCGTGACTTTATATTCTATACTGTACATAATTTCTGTTTAGTGACAAGACTTTTGTCATGATCATATTTTATTTTGGTAAAATAAGCGTAATCTAGAGGCCTTTGCCTTTCATATAAGATACTTCTAATACCAAATGATCGACTAGAAGTCAAGTTATTATTTGTTGTTCCTAAAACTTGGATAGGCGACAAGACTTTTGTCAGGTAGTGTATATTTCATGAATAATTTTAATTGGAGCTCTACAAATGTTGCACACTATTGCATTACAGTCAAAATCAGTAAAGTTATAGAGTTGTGTAAATTGTGGATTGTATTTATGCATAGTTCACCTGCAGTCAAACAATATATGCTGTTGATTTCAAAAAGATGTGTGTATAATACATTTCCAATGAAGGATATTTTTGTATTGCACCATTGATTTTTTTAAGGTTCTAAGACAAAATGATTATTTAATGTATGTAAAACAAAATACAGAGAGCTTTGGTGCTAGCTATTTGCGTACTTTTGGACGCAGCCGATGTTGCCTTGAAAGCACTAGTAGGTAAAATAAACATATAGGATCAAAACTGTTTCTAATCTGTTTGTAATCACAGTTCATTTGAAACTTGTATTAATTTTGTTAAATCAGAAATGTATGTTTGTTTGTATTGGCATGTAGAGATGAATGCCTTATTCTTAATTAAACAAAATTCTGTAATTTGCTTTTAACCCCCTAGCTGGAACCATTGCACAGGTGGGACATTTGTCAGTACATATTTAGCATTTAGTCTAAACTTGATCTTCTCTTGATAAACCATAAGTAATAAAATGCATATACAATGCTCAGCATAATTGAGTGCACCCATTTTCAAAACGAATGTCTTTTCCCATTTCTCAGTGAATATAGGCAATGTATTTAGTTAATTTAAACAAAACAGATTTAGTAAACAGATATATTTATTAAAATAATATTTTAGTCACCAAACATATTTAGAAATTGAGAGATAATAAATAAAATTCAAGCAAAATATTGCAAATAAAACAAACAAACAAAAAAACACCCTACAAAATCTCAACTAAATCTCAACTCTTTTTTTGCTTCTCTTGATTTTTCCTCTTTTTAAAAAAAAATTGTATTTATTATTTTTCTATAACATACTGAATAAATTAGAGCTATAGTTTTTGGACCGTTATTGTAAGTTATCTTGTTAGAGTAGCTCCAGATTTAGTACTGACTAATGTATATGCACAAATATAATATTGTACTGCTTCCTTTTAAAACATGAATTTTATAGATTCATGAAAGGTTTGGTTATATATGCTGAGCACTGTAACATCATTTTCAAGTGTGAACTTAAAATGTGACCGTAAAAGTGTTAAATACAGTGGGTTTCAAAATCCAGAGGCAACCTTTTCATAATGCTTTTTTTTCAATAATTGTTATTACAAATTAATATTTTGTCCCTTTTTTGCTTTAAAACATAATACTGCATGAGCTCAAGGAAAGCAGTTTGAGCTCCACAAAGCATCGTGTGCTTCATTTACCACAAGCAAATCTGGGTATCAAATTTGGTCAACAGTGTAGATGAAATATATTTTAGTAAAATGCTGCATTGTTTTAAGTGTTTCTAAGTGCTGTCAATGTGGCTATCATACTTGTATGTGAATGTTGCGCAAATAAATAATAGTCTTCCCAAAGAACACTCACACTATGGACAGACGGAACTTGCTTCTTTTTTCAGATGATTTACAACTGATGAACTGATACGGCAGTACGGCAGTATTTGATATTGTGGCATATCATGAAAACATTTGAAATGTTACTGAATGTACATATTATTTTACATGATTCATCTTAAAAATTGTATTTTTACCAGTGTATTTTTGTCTTTTAAATGTTTTACAGAGATATTAATTTAACTTGATAGAAATTCTCATATTTCTGGGAAGAATTATATTGTGTAATATTAAAAAGTCACACATTCCACACATTGTGTAACAGTTTGGATTTTATTCTTAGTATGTTCATTTAATCTTTAACCTATAAAAAACAGATGCATACAAAACGAGTGTTATGCCATTAATTAACGCAACTTTCTTTAAAAAATATGATTGGCTCTAGAAGTCATTACGCATATGCCTTTACTTAAAAAACAGTAGTAAGAAAAAATGTCAGCAATAAACATCAAAATATGAAAAGATTTACGTGTACACACACAAAGTACAAACACATTCCATTAAATTCTTCAACATCTTCCAGAAGATGGCGCTCGGTAGCTGATTGGGAGGCTGGGTGGCAGGTGTGACGGATATGGTCTCCCGGGCGTTTGGAGCAGTAAGGAGTTACAGCGGCTAAAAAAAAAGCAACAATAAAAACATGATAGATAAATCAAAGAAAACGATTACCACTTTTTCACCACTTAACACTACTCTAATTTCTGAGTATAATACCAGCAATTTCAATGATTTTTTTTCTGATAACAATTGTAAAACTACGGAACTCCTGAAGGGACATTTGCAGCACTCGCACGACGCTGGTGATGAAGGGACCAAACAGCTGAGGGTAGTCGTTGACTTTGATTTAAGGTAACCTTCATTCTTCCCATTATCTTTTGTTTTCAACAGATAAAAACGATAGATTTTAGATTTTATTATAAAGTATTTATTTAGATTTGGAGTCACTTGTTTTAGATGAACTATTCCTGTGTTAGTCACAGTCATCGGATTGGGGAGTTTTAAGTTGTTTTTTTACCTGTCACAAAATTCACAATTTTCTTAGCATTTTTAAAATTTCCAATAAAATATTAAAGAGATAGTTCACACAAAAATAAAAATGTCCTCGCTATTTACTTACACACTTTTGTCTTCTAAACTAATATTCTAGAGAATGCTGGGGAAAAAGCAGCCATTAACATCCATAGCAAAAATATGGAAGTTGATGGCGTTTTGGTTTTTAGTTTGTGTTTATTTGTATTCAACAGAAGAAAGAAACTCAAACAAGTTTGGAAAAGTGGACACAAATGGGAAAATAATGTCAACATTTTTAAAAATGGGCCAACTTAGAATGACTCATCTGCTGAAATAGCCAATCAGAGGTTACAGTGGAATAGAAAATGCTCATATTACTATTTAAACACTAAAACATAAATAAGTTTAATGAATATGTTCGATGTATTTAAATGAAAATATAAGCAATTCTATGCCTTCCCATGAAAAGAATTAAGTTTTCACGTTTCTGTGCTTTTTGTGTGAGCAAGTGTTTTACAGTGCTTTAAAACCATTCAAAATGTCTCTGTCGATGGCTTTAAACACAAGTGCCAATTTTACACCTGTCACATCCATAACGAAGCTTTTTCCTCATAAATGCAAAAAATGTCAAATAAAATAATTCTTTTTTTTTTTTTTTGATAAACAGTTTGAGAGCCGACTCTTATCCTGTTGATCACCATTATTTCTTTTGGGTTGTGCAGTTTAATACACAGAATTTCTACAAAGTATGTTGTAGACTGTAAACTCGCAAACTTTTCTCGTCACATCAATAACGCATGTTTATTTTCTTCATTTAAAGTACAAAACATGTTTACAGATTTATAGTTTCTGATCCCTTAACTCTGTGGTGAGTTGTTTTATAAAAATATAAACAGATGTTTCAATATAATGCTAACGTATGCTTTCTCTGTGAATTTATGTTGTAAGTTTTTACTTGTATATACAACTTAAGGCACAGGTTTTGCAGAATCATTGTGAATGTAATTCTTGTT